CGGGAGCGCCGCCGCGCCTCCCAAGCGGCGCACTATCCAGTGCGCCACCGGGCCGGCCCCATTTTGAGGTTTTTCCTGGAGGTCTTTAAGTGAGAAGTTCTATACAGCCTAGAAGGAATTCAATGTGCTTGTTGCTGAAGGCAGGAATGGAGAGGGGGACTTTTCTAAGTTTTCTTGCCCTAGATTCTCTGACTCGGGGGTGGGGGTGGGGTAGGGGAACCAGTCTGACACTGCCAGGCAATTCTCTTGTGACTTGCTTGCTCAGGAGAGAGGTAAAGGTAGTGAGGAAGTAAAGTATGAGCTGGATGTCTTGTCCCCTCACCTAAAGATGTTAACATTCGTACATTTGCCTCTGTCGTTCTCTTTCCAGCACATCTCCCGATTTGAGTTTTCCCCACTTTGCTCAGTTGCAGGTCCAGTGGGTGGGGTGGAGACACTTCAGGGCAGCAGCCAGGGTAAGTGACAGAGTGGGGCAATTGCCAGTGGTCTAACTTGCAAACCCCTGTGGTGGTTTGCATGCAGAACCATTGAAGCCTCTCCCTTGACTGCTTCTCCTCTCACTGGGTTCCAGTAGCCTGAGAGTGTGAGCTGTAGCCTGACTCCCCACTCTACCCCTACAGAGTGGGATCTGGCTAACTTGGCTGCACACCATTCCCTTGGGGATGAAGGCGACCTAGGGAAGTAGCAGGGGGCCTGCTGCCCAGGTTAGGACCAGGCCAATCTTGAACTGAGACTGGGATGGGTTAGGGGAGGGATCAAAACCCTTAATACTAATACCAATACTCTAAGGGAATTGAGGAGCTAAAAAGAGGTGGGAGGATAACAGAATGGGAATTCTCAGCCAGAGGGGCTTGAAGTCCAGGTGCCCTCATTACTCAGGGTCCGCATTGGAGCAGCAGCTGTCAGGGACAATGGCTGTTGCAAAAAGTCAGTTGAACTCCCAGGAGGTAAGGGGAAGAGTAGGAGAGCTGGGGTTAGGAGGCAGCTGTGCGCAAGGAGCCAGCATGGTGGGCCCTGGAACCAACCATCTGATCTTGAATGCTCACTGTTGATACTAATCTGCTGAGAGAACTGGGCTAAATTTTGTAACCTTTCCCCTAACCCTTATCTCTAAAATGATAAATAATTACACCTGCATCATAGGGTTGTTCTAAAGCTTAAATGAGATAAAAATGTGAGAAGCGCTTAGACAGCTCTAATAGAACTTTCTGCAGTGATGGAAATGTTCTCTGGGCTGTGCAGTCAGTAGCTCCTAGCTGCATGTAGTTACTGAGCACTTGAAATTGACTAGGAAGACTGAGGAACTGAAATTTAACTGTTTTTATTTTAATTAGTTTAAATTTAAATAGCTACATGTGGCTAGTGGCTGCTTTCTTGGATATCACAGGCTTAGAACAATGCCTGTCAAGCAGGAAGTGCCTGATGAAGGTTAGCTATTGTCAACAGGAAGAGTGAGTCAGGAAGCCTTGAGCTACCAGAACCTTCCTCCCAAACTTAGCTTTTATTGGTGACTCACAGGAAGATGACACAATTTGTGCAAAGGCATAGAGCCATAAAGCCTGCTGGGATTGGAGCTACATCCCTCACTGGAACAAGAGGCCCAAGGAAAAACCTGAGAGCATTTCAGAGTTAGGTTCAAAAGAGAGAACACATTGGAGAAAAGTATCAAAAACCTTAGGACAGGAACTGAAAAGACTAGGAATGGGTTGAAGATGGAACCAGACTGGAAATGAAGCTCTGGGCCTGGCCTGCAAGGGGGTATGAGGTATCTGGTCACCATCCTCATTCCTTCCCTCGGTCCCCTCCCTTCCTTCCAGAAAGCAACTGGAGTGGGCATGAAGTGCCAATGGAAAAACTTTCTTTGTGTTAGGTATGCAGCGACCTCTTGTGGCTACATGGACAACCATTGCCCTAAGGAGGGAATCTGTTAATACTGAAACGTCATTCTCTATTCACCCACCCATCCATCCATCAATCCATCCATTCATCTTTACATCTATCCATCCATCCATATCCATCCATCCGTCCATCTATCCACCCACTCACCCATCCACCCACCCATCCACACACCCATTCATCCATCCACCCATCCATCCTTCTATCCTTATATCACCCCCCCCCCCCCCCTTTTTTTTTTTTTTTTTCCCCTCCCCCCCCCCCCCCCCCCCCCCCCCCCCC